TTTTATTCTATACTCCCTCAGTATTATTTAGAAAGCTCTTATTTAGCGAATTATGGTTTCAGTGGAATTTATACAGGGATGCGGTTCTGGTTTTGTTTTGTTTTGTTTTGTTTTCTTCCTTCCCTTTAAAGAGAAGCCCATTTTCTGCAATGGTTTAAAGTGTGCTAGAAATTCAGGTTAAGATGTAACCCAAACATTCAAATTATATTGCAACTAACTGAAAGGTGATCTTAGAAGAAATTAGTAGATGCACTTTGTCCCTGGCCACTCCTTCCCCCTACCTGATTGTAACTTTTAGTCATTCTATCCTATTTTTAGAGTCCCAGGAACCTGCTATTGTCTAACTCTTTAAGTATCCCCACCTCAGATGTGATAACTCATGCTCCAAAGTTTCGCGATCCCACACAGCAAACGAGTGCCTCTTCTTTTTGTCTCACTTCCTCCCCAGAACTCTAGCTCCCCTAATAAAAGAACATTTGCAAATGTGTTCCCATGTCATCTTTCCTGAGTAAGATCCATTTGAACAGGAAATATAAAGAGACAGTCCTTTGATGCAAATGAATTATTTCAATGGTGGATATTTTAGACATAAGTCAATTTGTGAGACACATGGCTCTTTGAGATTTTTACCAGACATACCATACTGTAGTTTCAGTCATTATAGAGGTTCAGATGTAAAATATGAATTCCCCAATGTGTCCCAAGCTGAGAAGAAAAGATTTTAAACTGAACAAATCAAAACCCATACTGTTTAAATTTTCAGTGGCAGAATCCATGAGTTAGCATAGCTTAGAAGGCTAAATGTTTATTTCCTGAGATTCTCTGTCTTACCTTTTCCTCTATTAAAACACAGAGTGTATATTTATTTTAAACATTTTTTTTTCTTACAGATGAAGAAAAAAACTTTGATCAGACCAGATTACTGGAAGATAGTCTGCTTAACTGGTGAAAATATTATGTTTAATTATAGTTCTATTCTCTCTGAAAACATGAACCATGTGAATAAAACCTTTAGACCCTTTTATTCATTTGTAATCTTAAGAACACACACAGATAGTTTTATTCTTTCAGAAACAAAATATATATACATGCTTAGCTGAGAACATCATCTTCTTTCATTGCTTCAGGTCCTGTTTAGATGACCAAAAATGTTTTTAGATCACCTTGTGTCTTACTCTTGAGTTTCTTAGAATATTTATAATTATAAGGTTGAAGACTAAAGTGTTCTTTCCTTTTAATTATAGCCAGTACCTGTCTTGATCTTAGTTGTTGTTGTTGTTGTTTTCATTTTGTTACCCACTTGCATTTTGTTTTCACTCAACAGAAATTCTCCTTCTCTGTTTTCCTTTTATCCCATCCCCAAGGAGGTGGGAGGAAGGCAAGAAGCATGGCAGGATGGGAAATAGGAGAGTATGACTCTCTATAACTCATCCAGGAGTGATCAATTAAGAAGATAAATTGGATGACTGGGGAGAAGCCCTGTGACAGGAACACTTCAGTGTGGTTGCTGAGAGGAGACAGTCATTGAGGTAGAAGGTTTGCCAAAGATCTAGAGCTAGGAGCTCCCTTTGTGCTCTTTGGGAATTACCTTGCATTCAGTTTAGAAACATGGATCTAAAAGTTACTGGAAAATAAGCAGATGGAGACACACTCTGTTGTTTATGTATTGGAAGAAGGGAACAAGCCAGTTTTGTTAGAGGTAACTCATTTTCCATGACCAGACTCAACAGACTCAAGTACTCCACTTACTCTAATTGACTAGGCTCTAGGTTTTATTTGACATCATAGCATTACATAAATCACTCTGATAACATAAGTGCACAGTAATATGCCTGATCTTCTCCTTTTTAAAAGCCAACTTGAGTTCAGTACTATCTGAATACACCCATGCGCACATACACACACACACACATACACACATACTCCTGTGGCAAACATAATAATGTATTTATTTAGAATTATAATATGACCATCATGTTAATTTTTTTTTTACCTAATCAGAGTTGTTATTGACAAATGTCATAAGTGGAAAGCATTGTTAATTCTTATTGTCATCAGTATTTACCATTATTTAGTAGCTCAAGGATATCTTTATGTGAATGTCTCTGTAACTTGGAATTGCAATTTAACTGTGTTAAGTCATCAGAACTCTGCTTATAAGATTTATCTGTATCTTGTTTCATGATTTAATAATGAAACTAAATTCAAGTTAATGTAATGTTGATCTCTGTCAAAAAATAACTTGTGAGCATTAAAATATCTGTATGGCATTATAATAGGCACCTGTCATTTATGACTTGATTTGAAAGTAGACTTACTAGGCAGTGCTTATATCCAAGTTATTGAAAATTGTTTCCGAAAGCATTGTTTTTTATTTATACAGAGTCCTAACCACTTCACCATTAGGAGGGGTGGCACATTAAAAATTATTTACCCATCAGACATAAACTTGTACATATTGACTATTGAAATAGTATGCGTATTCAAAGAACACTTTTAACATCTATCTTATAAAACAATTCTTCCCACAACTAACCAGAACAATCTCAAAAATGTCATACTAATCATTGTTTTAAAAGCTGTCTCGATGATCAATAGCTGTTAAAATATAACTCCAAGTATTCTAAGTACTCAAAGTCCTTGGATGTTCTTAGGAGCAAATATGCTGATTAATTTAAAAGTCCCTCTTCCCAATTTTCTATAACTTTTCAACTCTCTTACGGTGTCTACATTCTATTTATTTCTAGATTTTTAAAAAACCGAAATGAACAAGTGATCATAGATCAGAAAACCTTCACATTATATGGCTTGTGTTTTAAAATTGGAAATGTTCTGCCTTCAACATGGATACATGCACAAGAATACCTCAATCTGCAGGCAGGGCTTTCAGTCACTTTCTGCACAATTCTCATTGCCCTTCCCTTTTTTTGCCTCTATAGCCTACCTCGGCTATCTGGCCTCCATCCTGGGCTCTTAATTATTCTTTGTTTTCCAGTAGTTGCCTTCTCTCCCCCAATACCATCATTGTGTTCCTAAGAGAGGAGAGAAGAAGGCGAAGTGGCCCTGGCTTGTTCAGATTAGCCTCCAGCTTGCATTTCTTCTTTCTTTAACTGGTTATGATAAATGAAAATGTGTTATCTTATCAACCTTGAATTACATTATTTTATCTTGACCACAAAGAAAGGGAAGTTGGGAATGTAACTTCATTCTGTTCAGTCTCTTCATACTGGACTGTAAATTCCTTTAGAAAGAGCTCATTTTTAATATGATTTAATCCTCACAAACACTGTGTGAAATGGGCCATTTTATCGTCCATATTACTCATAGACATACTCATTCAGTGAAGACTCTTTGGACCTCCCTAAGTAGACTTGACCAGTCCCTCTCGTGAGTCTTCCTTGTACCCTGGAAAACTATTAGTTTAACACCTGCAACATTTATGTTCTCATCTGCATATGTAAAACCAGTTCTGTTCACTCTAACCCTTACCATGGAAGGGACAGTAGTGTCTTGATCAGTTCAGGCTGCTAAAACAAAATACTGCAAACTGTGTGACTTATAAACAACAGAAATTTATTTCTCACAATTCTGGAGCCTAAGTTCAGGATCAAGGTGTCAACAGAATCAGTGTCTGGTAGAAGGTCCATTTCTTATAGATGGCACTTTCTTGCTGTGTCCTCATGTGGTGGAAAGGGCAAGGCAGCTCTCTAGGGCCTCTTTTATAAGGGCAGTAATCCTATTGATGAGGGCTCTGCCCACATGATCCAATCCCTTCCCAAAGGCTCTGCCTCCTTTGTGGATACCATCACATTGGGGACTAGGATTTCAATACAGACAGGCCCAATTTATAATGGTTCAATTTATGATGTTTCAACTTTATGATGGGATGAAAGCAACACACACTCAGTACACTCCTTGACTTACCATGGGTTTATATTCTGATAGGCCCATTATAAATTAAAAATATCAGAGGGTTGGCCAGGCATGGTTGCTCACGCCTGTAATCCCAGCACTTTGGGAGGCTAAGGTGGGAGGATCACTTGAGGCCAGAAGTTCAAAGACCAGCCTGGCCAATATGCCAACACCCTGTCTCTACTAAAAAGAAAATACAAAAATTAGCCAGGTGCGGTGGCACATGCCTGTGGTCCGAGCTACTTGGGAGGCTGCAATATAAGAATTGTTTGAGCCTGGGAGGTGGAGGTTGCAGTGAGCCGAGATCACACCACTGCACTCCAGCCTGGGTGACAGAGCAAGACTGTCAAAAAAGAAAGAAAGAAAGAAAGAGAGAAAAGAAAGAAAGAAAGAAAGAAAGAAAGAAAGAAAGAAAGAAAGAAAGAAAGAAAGAAAGAAAGAAAGAAAGAAAGAAAGAAAGAAAGAAAGAAAGGGAGGGAGGGAGGGAGGGAGGGAGGGAGGGAGGGAGGGAGGGAGGGAGGGAAGGAAGGAAGGAAAAGAAAGAAAATATCAGTGGATTTATCCAAACATAACCCCATTGTAAGTTGAGGAGCACCTATATATGAATTTGGAGGGCACACAAACATCCAAACCGTAGCAGGTGGTACAATCCATAAAAGGGGTCTTTCTCTCAGCTGATCAGATACCACACATTTTTTCTATAGTTCTTGTCCTTCAACTTATGAATACATACATTCTTTAAAAGCAACGATTTTTTGAACCTCTGTGTCTCCCAGTAAGACCTTTTATTTATGCAACTATTATGTACAAGGCACTGTACTACACACAGAGCCATCTGCTAACAATCTTATTTGCTTCTCCTCACCAGCTTTTGTCGGTCTTGGGGAAAAGGATGAAGAAATGACTAGAGTGGAGGGATGGAGTCACCTGGCAGCAGCTGTCTGAATAGGGGACCAAGTACAGGATAGAAGGTGATTCCTACACATGCAGTCAAAGCCAGGTGTTTGCAAGTCAGCTAAATTCCATGTGCCCTATCATTTGTACACACTTCTTATCATCAAATTATTATTTCATTGAATAAAAAGCACTTACATCTTCAGGTATTTTACTGTGTAGGCATGTTTTCAATAACAGTTGAACAACCAGTTACCAATCAAGAATATCATCTGAATAGCCACTGTATGCTACTTTACTAGGGATACATTTTCATGGTTATTGTAACAGTGAACCCTCGTTTATCACAAGATCTTTCTGGTACTTCAGCGAATGAGCCTATAATATAAGTCCATCTCATATTTTCTTCTCTACTCTCCAGTAGAGAGCATTTCAAACTTCTCTGCAGATGCTGGATTAATTGGCATCCACAGGGCATGTGTCAAAGGTTAGATTTTAGGTCAATTATTTCTCTTCTTTCTGGACATCTAAGTAAAGTAAATTTCCAGCCATCTTCCATTTTGGTCTGATTTGCTGCTTGTATCCAACAGTCTTCTACTTTTTTCTAGCTAATGGAGCAATAGGAGGGCTGAATTACAGTTTTCCAATGATCTTGAACCATCTGACACCTTGTCATTGCTGCTCTTCCATTTTTGTCATCAATAATCCATCTCTGAGAAGACCAAAACTTTTTTAGAGCCTCTTCAGAAGGCCAATTGATATGTCAATAAAGGAAGTCACTGTGAGTTAAATGGAACTCTCAGTGAATAACTACTTAGTTATGAAAAAAAGCAATCCAAGAGTGATTTTTGTTTTTGTTTTGTTGCCAATTTAGACTTAATTACACTTAAAACATAAATCTGCTAAATTAATAATCGTTCAACTATGACTCTACGCACATCACAGAATATGTTAAGAGACATTGTTGTTATTACAACTGAATAGATGTTCTATTCTAACTACTTTTAGAAAGATAGCTTCTGTAGGAATTATTCATAACAGCTGCTTCCCACATGTTATTGGAATGTCTAAATAATTTTTAAACAAGGCATTATCAGTGAAAGTTAAGTTATTAAATATTAATGCATTTATTTACTGGGATTTAACAACTTATCATCTATGAAGATTGACCAATTTTTTTTAAAGTCTTTCTATTTAAACAATAGAAAAATGTTACAGTAAGATGTTGGTACCATGCACATGGTAATATCTTCCATTCACATGATAATATCTTCCATTAATTACAACATAAATTCTAGAGTTCAAAAGTGACATAAATGTGCATTAGTATGCATCAAAATATGAACTTAGGATAGCTGTTCACACATGGATTTTGTCTCTGCAAAACTACATATAAATCATGGTTCTGATGCATGTGAAAAATGAAAATAATCAGTAAAAATCTAGCTATTTAAAATATGTAGGTAGTGCACATTCATGGGTAAGATCAAGGTTTTCAGAGGGAAATGAGAAATTTGTGTGGTGGGGTAGAGAAGCTGCATAAATAGTAAGCAAAGGATTATGGTGATAATTTAAAAATAAACAGAGTAAGAGAAAATCCTTACCACTTAAATTCACCATTTTAAAAACACTTTTCCATCTTCTGCCTTTAATGAGTGCTCCTCCTCATGCCTAACTTTTACGGGGAAAACAAGGGTTGGGGAAAACAACTTGGATCTTATTCTAAATTATGAAATTGTCATTCACTCAATTTCTTCCACTTTTTAGGCAGATAATAAATTCCATTGTAATACTTAGAAGGAGAAAATGAAATGTGTGGCATTTTTATTTTAAATAATTAGTCTTACTTTGCTTTATGAAATTAGCTCTTCTCAGCACATGTAGAATTCAGTTCTTATATTCACCATGCAGCTTTTTCTTCCCACGAGGAACGTGGCTCAGTGCAAATGGTGACTTGATATTTAACCGATCCCTTTCAGCCTCCTTTTCCTCATCGTATCTCTCATCCTCCACTTCGTCTTCCACATCACTGCTCTGAGGACTGGAGGCCTGAGACCCTGAAGGAGAAGGTGGTACTGAGGAAGGCCTGGGATATTTAAATCCTTCTGTCTGCCAGAGACAAAAATAAGACATAAACATCAAAACAATGTACTGGTTTTCAATGATGTAAATACTATGCATCAACTATCAATTTTGTAAGTAGTTATCTATCTATTGTAGTCTGGGTGCTGTTAAACTTTGATTCATTTTTATTTTGATACCACCAACCTCAAGAGGGAGTCATTAAATATATAGCTATTCTTTATTAAGTACTGAAATGTACCAGGTGTTATATACATATTATTATCATCTCATCTTTTAACAGCACTCTGATACATATGTTTTTTTCAGTACAGAAGAAAATGGAGGGTTAGAGGGGTCAACTAACTTGCCCAACATCACACAGCACATCAATGGTAGAGCAAAGATTTGTACCAGGTCTGTGATGACTCCAGAAACTTTAATGTCAACTGCCATCTTACACTGCTGATACTGTTAGTCTCTAAGTCTCAACTTTGCTCAACAGAGCTTTGGAATGTGGGTAGCCTGGAAATGCCACGGACAGCCACCACTTGAAGGCATCCTGGAAGTCAGGCCACGTCACTGACCCTACAATTCCACCAGTTGCTGTTATTTCAGTTAATGAGAAAATACCACTAGACTTTAATTAATTTGCCCTTCTACTTGAGATACTGAGATAACTTATTTGATAAACACATACTAAGCACCAATTATGTATCTGGCACAATAATGCCACTAAAGAAACCAGATGAAAAAACATGATTGGAGTGCATATGATTGAATGGGGAGACACATGTATAAAAGTGTTACAGCACTCGTCACTCTGTATTTCAATTATTTTGTACATTATTATCATGTCATACATATACAGTCATTTTGAGGTTCAGATACTTTACCTGTTAGCAATATAACAAAAGAACAGAGTTCTGCACTTGAGACCTAGCTTGAAGTAGGTGCTCAATGCTTATTAGATATAATAACTGGATAAATAAGTAGATAAACAGAAAAATGGATGAATATTGCTGAATTATCATTAAGTAGAATGACCACCTCTGAATAAGCTAAGCAATCAACTCTGAATGCTAGAATCATAAACATGAAAATCAGAATTTGTAACCTGAGCGTTTAAGAAAACCTTGTCACCCTTTTCATGGGCAACTTTTACTTCAGGTTAACTTTCTAGATCTGTTCCACTAGAGACCTGATATAGGTGGAATATAAGTCATGTTATTAGGGATAGTTGTTTATAGTAACAGTGACCCCTGATTGAGAAACTATATCTGAACTGAAAAAATCTATAAATACCTGATGAGGAGCCAGAGTTTTTGGGACTCTCTGAATGATGACTTGTAATTGGGCATATTCCTTGCAGGGAGCATGAAAGCTGGTTTGCAGGGATTTACATGAGATAGAGGCTCCTGTGGGACATGGAGCTACTAGCTAAGGTGATCTCATTTGCAATGGTATGGGTCTTATCTTCCTGCACCTAAGCCGTCACCTAGTGTGTAGGGGGCAAAGATGTTTAGCTCTTGAATCACTGTGTAGACTACTGCAAGGACTAATCCCAGTAAAGAGAAATGCCTGATGCTACCCTGCTTCAAGCAGCACTTCCTGTCTTCTACCCTGCTAAGTGAATCTGATGACAAATGTGGCCTATAGCAGTCTTATGAACATAAATGTCTGTTGGATTTTAGAAGACACCCTGGTGGGCATTGCTGAATGGAACATAAATGCTTATCTAGTTCAATTCCTGCTGGGGTGCTGAACTTACTCTATTTCACTCTTGCCAAGTGGTCACCCATATAAACACTTTCTTGGGGAGCAAATTCACTTTCGATTAAAGCAGTCTAGTTTGTTTTTGAACAACTCCCCAAAGAATGAATGTCCATCAGAACCATTTCAAGCACTAAGGCAGAGAAAGTTTTAACTCAGAGATGCATCTCCAATGACCTGAATCAACTGTCTTGAGAGCTTTAAGACAGTCTTATTTGTGAGTTCTTCTCTCTCTTCTTTGGTTTGATTCAACATTATGAAAAACTATCATAGCTCGTGTGCGTAGCTACTTCCAAATTTAAATGTATTATTTAAACTTATAAAAAGAAATACAGTTTTCAAAACAAACAATACATTGACTATTTACCATTGGTGGTGATGTTAGTTCCACATGGAATTTATCTGGAAAAGCTCTGCTTAATGTCAGGTGTCTGGCATGCTGGTAATACTATTGACAGAAAGCCAAATCACAGGTTAATAAAAACCCTTAGTATCTCAATAACCAAGTTATTAAATAAGGCCTTATTCTCCACTTCTGAAATATATATACTTTTTAAAGTGACAGAATCTATGCACTCTAGGTTTGAGACTCAGGAAAGAAATTACAGTTTGTAGTTTTACTATTTTTCAACCCATAGGCACAGAAATGCTATAAAATGCCGGGGAAGAATGCCCATACTGGTCATACTGAGCTCTGAATTGAGCATTAAGGTGACTGAAAACACTGGTTTCATTCCACAGCGAAGCAGTGTGGCATGGAAAAAGATAGGGCCTGAATATTCAGATAAATTGGGTGTAAATCCGGCTTCAGACCTCAGGCAAGAAACATCACTTCTAAAAGTCTCGTGTATCTATTTTCATTGCAAGATGGAGATAGTAAAATTAATCATCCAGGTTGTAATGAGCACTGGCATTTGTGTGTGCAGATACCCAGCAAATGGCAGCATCTATCATTCAGCCAACAGTGTTCAGCGCTGCGCAGACAGACACATTATGTGAAGGCAAAGTGAATTTATTTATTATTAAATCACCACTGCTAAGCTATGTGAGCATCCAGGTGTTTATAAACCTATTGCATGATTGAGAGGAGGTATTTCCTGTACTCATCATTTTGAAAAACCATATTATTCCCATTACTCACTACAGGTGAGAAATATGACCACAGTATTTCTCTAGAGAGAAACAAAGTAGGGACTTTTATCTTGATGTTTTCTTCAACTTCATAAAATGTTTCCTTATACCAGTAACATATCAAGTGAGGCACTGACAATGGAATAGCTAGTAACATTAGTGCTAGATCCTGATGGACTTGCTATTATGGATAGATTCAAACTAAACATGAAGAAATAGATTTAAGACTTTGTAAACTCATTAAATTTTTAAAAGTACATGGAGACACGGAGGTTTTAACAGTTATAATATTGGATTAATTTTAGAGATTATGACTAGAATCAACATGTTTATAGTCCACTGGAATTTTTTAAGTGGTCTGCTGTGTTTATCAAAACTTGCTTACTCTGCCTAAGTATCTCCAATCCAGAAGATCTGAGAGCCTCTCAGTTCTGTTCCTCTGGATAATCCTTTGGCGGCGTGACTGTTTGCAAAATCCATAAAGAAACTGAGTCAGCTGATTGCAAGAATCATCTGGAGAACGGAACCGCCTGTCAACGATGTAAATACCTGAAGAACACAAAAGCCAAAGCACAAGTAAAAGCAGGACTCACCTTAAACATTTGTTCTCCTATGATTTACTAACTCTTTGGTTCTATCAAAAACCTATGCATTATCTACCCCCTGACTCAGGAATTACCCCCACTTTATTCTTTTCTAAGGCCCTTCTAATGGTTTACAACCATCACTGACATACAACCAACAAAGTGGATCTTGCTGAAAAAACTCTGGCAGTCTAGGGATACGCCGGATCAGTGATCCTCCATGTGGTTGCTCACTAACCAGAATTTCCAGGGCAGGGCCTGGATATCTGTGCCTTTTAGGTTCCCCAGTGTTCCCACTGTGCAGCCGTGGCTGAAAACTCCAGCGCTAGCCTGAGGAAAGAGCAACAGTACACCTAAAAAAAGACTGAGGGAAGGCTGGGGCTTGGTAGCTCACACCTGTAATCCCAGCACTTTGGAAGGTAGCGGAGGGTGAATTCCTTGAGCCCAGGAGTTCGAGACCAACCTGGGCAACCTGGGGAAATCCCATCTCTACATACAAAATTTAGCCAGGTGTGGTGGTGTGCACCTGTAGCCCCAGCTACTCGGGAGGCTAAGGCAGGAGGATTACGTGAGCCAGAAATGTGGATGCTGCAGTGAGCCAGGATCAGGCCACTGCTCTCCAGCCTGGGCAACAGAGTGAGACCATGTTTTTAAAAAAAAAAAAAAGATCCAGGGAATTGGCAATGTATAGGCAGAGAATGTATCCCATTCTAATTTTTCTTGCTTCTAGTCAATATGAACAGACAGATAATGGTATGCAAATTATTGTACCATCTTAACAAAAAATTTAGGTGAATTTTGCTAACTTGGCATGGGCCTTTAAAATAATAACAATAACAATAATAATACTAATATATGTACTCTCTATCTAATGACCAATATATGTACTCTAAGACCATAGTTATTGTAATATCGCTTCTAGGCAGTTGAAGGGATCAAAATTCAGGGGGAAAAAAGGTAAAGAACAAAGTTTGTCCAAGGTTTGCATTCTTCTTGCAGTTTGTCTTATGGGCAACATATTAATATTAATAGCATTCTTATGTTATTTGTGGACCACATATTTAAAGCTACTTTTTTTTTCTCCACTTTTAGTTTAGGTTCAGGGGAAACACATGCATATCTGTTAGATGGGTACATTTCATATTGCTGAGACTTGGTGTACAAACGATCCCATCACCCAGGTGATTAACATAGTGCCTGGTAGGTAGTCTTTCAACCCACGCCCCCTTCCCCCACTCCCCACTCAAGCAGTCCCCAGGTGTCTATTGTTTCCATCTTTGTGTCTATGTGTATTCAATGTTTAGCTCCCACTTATAAGTGGGAACATGCAGCATTTGGTTATCTGTTCCCGCATTAATTCACTTAATATAATGACCTCCAGCTGCATCCATGTTGCTGCAAAGGACATAAATCCATTTATAAATCTACATTTTTTTTTTTTTTGAGACAGCCTGAGGCTCTGTCACCAAGGCAGGAGTATAGTGGCACGATCTCAGCTCACTGCCTTCTCTGCCTCCCAGGTTCAAGTGATTCTCATACCTCAGCCTCTGGAGTAGCTGGAAGTACAAGCATGAGCCACCATATTTGGCTAATTTTTTGTGTGTTTTTAGTAGAGATGGAGTTTTGCAATGTTGGCCATGCTGGTCTCAAACCCCTGAACTCAAGTGATCCACCCACCTCGGTCTCCCAAAGTGCTGGGATTATAGACATGAACCACCGTGCCCAGCCTAAACTGACTTTTAATTAAACAAGAAATATAAAAACATTAGTTTAATTATCAGGATAACTTTAGAGTTAGGCTCTGTAAAGAACCTGTGCTTTGTTTGGTTAGAGGTCACGTCTCCCCAGGATGGGTTAATGATGAAAAAGCTCACCGTAAGCAGTAGGATCAGCCACATGCTCCTGCATGAAACAGCCAAACCCGGAGAGATTCGTGGTCACACTGGGGATACCCATCACTGTGCATTCAGCTGCCAGGGGAAATAGACCAAAGCTCGGCTTCAGACCAGCGCCTAAATCCTTGTATGCACTCAGAGGAGGAAAAGGCCCTCCTCCTAGTAATAGCAATGTTCACTTTGTGTCAGGCACAAGACTAAACTCTTTACATGTCTCATTAACTTATTTAATCTCTCAGCAACCCTGTGAAGTGGGGCCATCATTATCCCCATCTTACAGCTGAAGAAATTGAGGCACAGAGAAATAACTCGCCCACCTTCACAAGGCCAGGGTTCGTGGTATAGCTGGGATTTGAAGTCAGGCATCTGGCTGCATAACCCTTGAGCGGAACTGCCAGGCTCCACTGCACCTTCAATCCCAGCTGGTTTTGTTTTTTGCTTCTTTCTAGCCTGTGTTTCTAAGAACTTGGCAAGTTTATAGGGTAGGTTAAATATGTTTTGGATGTGACCAGCTTCTTCCCCCATTTAAATCTCCCTTGGCACATATTCCTTCCACTGTCTCAGGAGCTCAATAAATGGATGATCTCTTTCACTGCTCCCTCATCTTTTAATCAAAATCTGTTTTCCAGGAAATAACTGATATGTCTTAAAAATTTTACTAGTCTCAAGGATATCTGCATTTTTAGGAATTTATATTTGATAATGGAATTACCCTTGGTTGGTAAGTGGTGATGGAGGAAGAAAGATCTTCCCATTACCCATGAAGTAATACAATTTAGACAGCAACCTTATCTCTTGCTCTGCAAATGTTTCCTCTTGGTTTAGCTATATAGCTATGGAGTTGTGGTTCTCTAATTTTAGTGGCGGGTGGTGCAGAGGAGGAAAGTGGGATGGGGACTATCAGCCCTTTTGAGAGTCTGATGAACATTTTGGAACTCCTTTCCAGAAAAATTCTTTTTTTTTTTCTTTTTACATAATTTTATTTCCTCAGACTTCCTCCTGGATTCAGCTCCCCCTTCTTTGGGAGTTGGGAGTTGGAGAGTATCTCTTACTTTCTTTTAAAAAAAAATTTTACTTTAAGTTCTGGGATACATGTGCTGAATGTGCAGGTTTGTTACATAGGTATACACGTGCCATGGTGGTTTGCTGCACCTATCAACCCATCGTCTAGGTTTTAAGCCCTGCATGCATTAGGTATTTGTCCTAATGCTCTCCCTCTCCTTGCCCCCCAATCCAACAGGCCCCGATGTGTGATGTTCCCCTCCCTGTGTCCATGTGTTCTCATTGTTCAACTCCCACTTACGAGTGAGAAAGTGAGGTGTTTGGTTTTCTGTTCCTGTGTTAGTTGGCTGAGGATGATGAAGAGAAATATTCTTATACACATATGTATACAAAATTTTGTCTACAACGCCATGAAAGTTCACAGATCCTTAATGTTTACTCAATGGACATCAAATCACTATGCAGCAAAATTCCAGGCACCCATGAAGCTTAGTATATGTTCATTGAATTAATTTAATGAAGTAGGTCCTTATATTTATTTGGCTCTCTGAAAACACATTTTGAGGAATACTTTCTAGAGTGAGTTGGATCTAGTAACACGTAAAAAGATTATTCTAAAAATATTAGAGAGTTATCTAATATGCTGATGTTAAATGTATACCACCAGAAGTCGCATTCTTTCTGTAACTATAGGTTGGGGAAGAGTGACCAGCTCCTTTTGGTTAATGTAAATCACAGCATGACTCATTCAATATGGACTATTCCACAAGCTCACTTATTTGTCTATTTATAGTATCCTTTGTAACATCTTCTTTGGCCTTTATCTTAAAACATTAGATATATCTCCTTTATCATTTTGGGTTGTTAAGTTTAACTTTGCCTTATAAAATGACACTTTGGTGGACAGTCAGCTGTTAGTTCTATCACATTTTCTTGACCCGACAGAAAGGACTTCCCACATTGCCTCAGTCACTCATGCATTTGGTTGTATGCTTCTCTATTCATGATACTTCCAATAGTAAATTGTTTTACTAGAAATAATAAGAACACGGTCAAAAACAAAGTGTTAAGTTCATCAGTGAAACGTGTGCTTTGTGTGTCTCAAAAGATGGTGTAGTGCAAGCAATTTGTGATATTTATGTGGACATTTCATAAGTAAGAAGACAACACCTTCACAAAAGTAGGCCATTTTTAGATCTGCAAGAGAGACACCTGGAGGAGTTATATACAAATATTTTCTACGTCATGTTTCAAGACAATCCTTTGTCTATTTTCCCCAAGAAATTTTAAAGTTTTCATAGCTGCTGGCAAATTATGCTTGGTGAAAGCTAGAACAATAGAATAGGACCTTATGACCAAACACGCATGGCCCTCATGTTGTTCCTGCTGTAAATAATACTGGATGCTATTTTTGTAGAATTTTTAATTCTGTATTTTAATTCTAGGATAAAGATGCAAATAATAGAAAAAATTCTTCCTCTTGATAATTCAGCCTATTATTCCCCCTCACCTTGGCCTCTGCTGCTCCTTACTTGAGCTTTACATCAATGATAACATTGAGATACAAAAGGCAACATTTATTATCTCAATTATAAATAAAAATGTTTTCTGAACTTTTTTAAAATCACAAGTGAAGAGGCCGGGAGTGATGGCTCATGCCTATAATCCCAGCACTTTGGGAAGCCGAGGCAGGTGGATCAGTTGAGGCCAGCAGTTTGAGACTAGCCTGGCCAACATGATGAAAACTGTCTCTATCGAAAACACAAAAATTAGCCAGGCGTGGTGGCATGTGTCTGTAATCCCAGCTACTCAGGAGGCTGAGGCACAAGAATCTCTTGAACCCAGGAGGCAGAGGTTGCAGTGAGGCAAGATCATGCCACGGCACTCCAGCCTGGGCAACAGAGTGAGACTCTGTCTCAAAGAAATAATAATAAAATCGCAAGTGAAATTTTATTTACATTGGGCAGAAAAATCTCTGATTATTAATAAGAGATGGAAAAGTTATTATTGTATTCTTTGCATTGGCATGTATTTAAAGTATTTGTTTCCCTTTTAATTAGACATTTCAGTACAAATACAAATTGATCACTTTTGATGCTAATGGCAACCATGCCAGTTGGGTCCAGAAAAGAAAAATACATAGTAAATCTGATAATCTACCATCTGTTAAAAAATAAAATAAAATAATGAAGGAGGGTGAAGAAGGAGGAGTTTCTGAATGGAATGATGTCATTGTTGACAATACTTACTGAATTGCTAGCCTCTCTTAGTACCTTTTATTTTGAGGCACACGAATGTGAAGAAGACTTTTCACTGTACACCTTTTTATATTTGTTTCCCTAACCATGTGACTGTGTTACCTATTATATATTAAATACATTCATTAAATTTTAAAAAGAATTATTCTAAAATAATTTTTAAAGGACAACATTGCCAGACTATTATTTATTATATTAATCCTACTTACAGTCAATTTCTCCTTCACACTAATAAATGAGGCAGATAGAGATGGCTAAATAACATACAACCTTTATAACACATTCCTTTTTCTTTGGAATTCAATGAGGCAATATCTCACATACCTTCTAAAATATGCCCAAACCGTGGTGTACTTATATAATCTTCATCCTTATTCTTAAGTAATCATCTACAAACCATAATTTGATCCCTGAGATGAATCCAATCAAAATTTTTTTAAAACTGAAGAATTGAAATCTCATTAGAAATTTAATATCAACTTTGAATATTATATATATGCACATAAAATAATATACTAACAAAATCCAAAACATTCCACATTCTATGCATGACACATACCTGGAGTATAACCCCAGGGTTCATAGTATGATGGAAATACTCCAAGGTGACAACCTCTGACGAACTCTTCATAGTCCATGGGTAGTAGGGGACTGGTGGAGGATAGAAATTCCGGGTGCAAAATCACCTAAAAAAGGAAAATTCTAATGAAAAAAAAGAAAAAGAAGCAAGAAAAGTGAAAAATCTCCTACAATTAGGTTATTTCAGTACTGTACTATAGAATCCTTATGTTCTAGATTCAGAAAGAAAAAAGAGATAAGACAAAAGAAAAAGAAAAAAGTCTTGGTGGTTTGTTCTCCTCTCTCCATTTTTAAAAAGTGTCTATGCTGCATATTTAACTTTCCCTCAGGTTCCAAGGCTTAGATTGAAGGATAAGGAGTTAGAGTGCTCATTTTTGTTCACACACTAAGCTACATTCTCCAGTCCAGCTTTGACATGCAATAAACATTATATTTGGTTTTCTAATTGCTCTTGTCTTTTTACCAATTTGTTCCCAACTCAAGCAGGGAAGAGGGAGCTACATAACAGACCATTCTTACATGCCTTAAGCATGAGTTGTTCAAGCGAAATGGAATTAAGGGACAGGGAAGATGTTCTAGGAATGCCATCTAGATTAAATCATGCTGCAGGACTTCATGCAAACCACCATCCTCTCTCACCTAGAGGCCATCACCTCCTAACATACTTGCCTGCCTCTTTCTGTTCCACTGGGGTCTCTATTCAACACAACTAGATTGATCCTTTAAAAATGTCAGTCATTCCCTTGCTCAAAGTTTTTCAGTGGCTTCCCATTTCACTCAGAGTAAAAGCCAAAGTGTTTACCATGGCTTCTAAGCAGTAGTGTGCTGGTAAATATTTAAGAACTGAGACAGTGAAGTATAAATATATATTAGTACATAAATTTGTTGTAATTTTTATCGAGATGAATAATGTATATACAGTTACCAAACAATGAAAGATGTTATAACATGTAGATGCTTAAAGCAACTTTATTCATAATTGCCAAAACTTGGAAGCAACACAAATGTCCTTCAGTAGGTGAATGAATAAATTGTGGTACATCCAGACAATGGAATATTATTTAGTGCTAAAAAGAAATGAGCTATCAAGCCATGAAAACAAATAGAGGAAACGTAAATGCATACTACTAAGTGAAAGAAGTTCATCTGAAAAGGCTACCTGATATATGATTTCAACTGTGTGACAATCTGGAAAAAGTAAAACTATGGAACCAGTAAAAAGATTAGTGGTTTCCAGGGGTCAGGGGTGAGGGAGGGATGAATAGGTAGAGTATAGACAATTTTTAGGGCAGCGAAACTATTCTGTATCATACTATGATGATGAATACATTTGTCAAAACCCATAGAATGTATAACACCAAGAGTGAACCCTAATGTAATCTATGGAACTTGGGTGGTAATTATGTGTCAATGTAGGTTCATCTGTTGGAACAGATATACCACTTTGGGGGATGCTGATAAGGGGGGAGTCTGTGCATGTGAAGGGGCAGAGAGCAAATGGACACTGTACTTTCTGTTCAATTTTGCTCTGAACCTAAAACTGTTCTAAAAAGCAAACTCTATCAAAAGTGGATATATACAAAACTCCTTATTGTGAATTCTATGTAGTCAATTAATTCTCACAATTTACTATTTTTGTTTTTCCAAAATTTTGTATTCGTAACCAATTTATGGTTTCAATTGATGGCTGATTGTAGCTCTGACATAAATGTTGATTGATTTCGTTTGTTAATGAGTAGAAGGAGCTGAAATAACAGAGACATTTGTTGGAACTTCACGAGTTCGTCAATAATGCAAGTGACTTCTTTGCTGGGTCAGATAGTAGTTTTTGAACACGGACAAAATTTTTTTTTTTGCCACTCACAATGTACAGGCTACAGATCCAGAAATCAATACGCAGTAAATGAAGCCATGATTTGTAGTGTTTGCCTATTTTCATTCTAAAAATATTCCCACTGCCACCAAGGCCATTTTTAAGCTATCAATATGATGTTGCTGAATTCAGAGACAGGGAAAGCAGTAGCACATCATTATAAAGCATTTGCACCACAAAGATCTGACAGACATAAAGAGTCTCAAGTGCATAGGTCACAGTAACATGCAGTAAATAATTAAGATATGAGGAATTTTGAGCATTACCTTTCATTTAATATAGTTGACTTATTTTCAAATTTATATAATTTAATTTTAGCAATAGCTTTATTTAAAACTGGCTCACAAAGTTTCTGAACATTTAACTATTGGCTCTTGTGCACTTGTATGAGCCAGTTCTGGGCCCACACTGGAAAGGCAGAAACAAGAGCATGGACATTCTGTACTTTCTGTTCAATTTTGTTGTGAACCTAAAACTGCTCTAAAAATAAAGTCTATTAAAATGTACACATTTTTAATAGATTCACATTCCTTTTTGTGAATTCTATATAGCCAATTAATTTGCACAATGTGCTATTTTGCCTAGTAAGTTTGTGTGTGTGTGTGTGTGTGTGTGTGTGTGTGTGTGTGTGTGTTTTGGCACGTATTTTGCCCAACATGCTATTTTATCCTTCTGGTTCCTACTATTCTCTCCATCTCTCAATTCAGTGACATCACATTGGTAGCTTGACAATGGCCTTGGTGGCAGGGAGAGTTTTCATAGAATGAAAATAGGCAAATACTACAAATCATGGCTTGATTTACTGTGTATTGATCTCTGGACTCAAGAAAGTAATGGAAAAATATTAATAGTTCAGGTTTAGCCTTAAAATGTGTTGTATCTGTAACCATTACATTGTGACACAAAATATTACTAATGATGACAGCATGGCTATAATTGGAAAGTTGTGACTGGAATAGCTATTTAAGTTGCTAACCGTGTGAATGAATTGTCCTATTTCTCCCACTTACTACAGTTATCACTGAGCTATTATTAGATTATCTCTCAGCCTCACCCATACCTAAGGGGTTATTGAAAATAAGTGACATCTGATATAAAAGTATTGGGAATCCCACGTTTACAGAAAGTTCCAAGTACAATATGAATTCATGTATTTTCAGAACCATTCATAAACTGCTGACTTGATGCCCAGCATTCCCACGTACTTAATGTGTATTTCCCACAAACAAGAGCATTCTTACATAATCTTACAAAAACATAAAAGTCAGGAAATTAATGTTGATACATCACTACCGTATAATCCTTAAACCCCATTTAAGTTTTCTGATGATTAAAATAGTGATTTTTAAACCAAAGCATCCAGTTCAGAATTACATATTGCATTTAGTTGTCACATCCCTCTAGAGTCCTTTAATCTGGAAGAGTTCATGGGCTTTTTTGGCTTTCCTGACTTTGATATTTTTGAAGACTATAATCTATTTATTTTGATGTATGTCCCTCAATGTGGGTTTGTCTTATGCTTGTCCATAATTAGATTTAGTTTACACATCTTTGGCAGATATATCACAGAAGTGGTGCTGTGTTCTTTTCATTGCATTTTAATCAGGTGGTAAAGGTTTTCTATTTTTTTCATTAATGATGATGTTTATTTTGATCTCTTGACTAAGGCCAAGCCTTTTTGGCTTCTCCGCTGTAAAGTTATTCTTTTTTCTCTTTGTTATTAACAAGTATTGGGGCAGTTATTTTGAGGTTGTGTAAATATCTCGTTCCCAATTAAACTTTTAATTAATATTTTTATTGGACTGCTGGTTCCTTATGTCATTCAATGCATCCTAATTCCTTACTATCTTTATTTATTTTGACACTCAAATTGTCCGTGATTTGGCCAGTGGGATCTCCTTCAAGTTTGTTTCTGTATATATTTAACAAGTCTTCATTGTTCCTTGAGCATTTCTTTGATTTTTGACACAAGAAGTCTCAGGCTCATCTTGTACTTTACCTGTCACAGTTCTAGAATCAGCCAATTCTAAAGGCAGCCCTGGTTCCCTTTAGTAGCAAATGGTATTTAGCAATCAAGACCTGGCTACCAGGTGTGCTCACTGTCATTGGCCTATTACTTCCCCCAAGTGCTCTGAGTAGACAGAGATAAATCTCACACACACACACACACACACACACACACACACACACACGGTTTTTGCTACCTTTAATTTGCTATATATTGGGTCAATCTTCTTCTGTGTAACTAATCTTTCTCCACACACTCCCTCACATGCACCGATGCCCTCTTCTCTCCACTCTGGCTCTGACATTGCTTTAGGCTGCTCCTCTTTGTGTAGACATTTCTCAAACTGCTTGGACTCTGATGCCTTTCTCTGGACTTCCACAGTACTCTCCCTGTTCTAGTGCAGATACCTACCTTGTGTTGCCCACCAAATGGCTTTAGAACTGAATTGTTCTGGAAGGAAAAGGAAAGATAAAGAAAAAGAAGACAGGCCAGGTGCCGTGGCTCACTCCTGTAAGTAATCCCAGCACTTTGGGAGGCCGAGGCAGGTAGATGACCTGACGTCAGGAGTTCGAGACCAGCCTGGCCAACATGATGAAACCCCATCTCTACTAAAAGTACAAAAATCAGCTGGGCGTGGTGGCGGGCACCTGTAGTCCCAACTACTCGGGAGGCTGGGGCAGGAGAATCGCCTAGAACCTGGGAGGCGGAGGTCGCAGTGAGCAGAGATCTCTCCACTGCACTCCAGCCTGGGTGACAGAGCAAGACTCCATTTCAAAAAAAAAAAAAAAAGAGAGAGAGAGAAAGAAGACAAACTAGTTTTACACAAGCACACTACACTTCTCGTGTTTATTCATGAAATAATAAGTACACATTCTTCAGAAGAGATTACTTTGAAGAAAAACCCTAACTTGGATATGTAACAATTATCATTATATTTGTAGAACATTTTATATATTTTAAATATACATATTACCTCATTTAATCTTAGTGACATTGTGCAATTGGTAAAGAAGACATAAAGAGGGCCATTGCATTATCAATTTTAAATTGATTTTTGTCACTTTATAATCTTATATACCAAGGATTAAAGTGGAGAGTTTTACCCCTTGGATCCTCAAGGACATTACAAACATTAATTATATCTCAGCAGATCCATAAGTAGGAGAGAAGTTAAACTTAAGAAGAAATAAAATAAGATATGCAAACCGCAGTACTTAAGAATTCAA